CAGCTTCATGGAAGGAGCCTTAGGGCCTTTGGGCATCTAAAATATCTTGGAGGTTAGAAATAACCGTTACTTTTGTGAAGGTCTTGCACGACCACGCAAGTCCTTTTGGCCCGAAGGTTTCTGAGCCTTTTGGGTCGGCACGGCCACATGTGGTGGCTCAGGCTGGTGGTCATCTCGACCACAGCCGTCAGCCATGGTTGGTGGGCTGGCCCGGAGGGGCCACCGGAGGCGGAGCCCCTGGAGGAGCAGGCTGGTTGGCGGCAGCATCTTCGGGAGTGGCTCCCGGGTGCGGAGCGAAGGCTCAATGCCACGGAAGAGTGGCTTGCCGGCCTGGCGAGCTGGGGTCGGGAGTTGGAAGGAGCCTCGACCTGGGGAAGCTGGGACGTGGCGCTGTGGATGGTCGTGGACACCCTCTTCGGCATGATCGGGTGGGCACTCTTCGGCAGCGCTTGGACTAAGGCTCGGACCGGATGCCGCCGGCTCCTCCAGGTTCTGGTGGTGCTGGGGCTCTGCTTGGTCGCTCACTATGTGTGGGCTGTGTGCTACCCCATTGTGTCGCTCCTGATCGGGGCATGCATGGCGATGGCATGGCTACTTCGCAAAGTCCTACGAGGAGTAGGGGCCTTTGCATTCTGGTTCCAAAGAGTTACAGGAGGCTCTCCAGAAGCCTCTGAAGCAGAGTTCTTGGGCCCTGCCACTGGACGGACACCTGAAACCTCCCAGCTTCGAGCATTCAAGAGGTCCGGTGAGCAGCCCAAGCACATGGTGGTGAAGAGAGGGGAAGATGCTGCTGTCTTCGCCATCGGCATGGACTCCCAGTCCATCAAGACCCACGGCCTCTATGTCCCTGTGGAGTGCAACACGATCCGTGGATCTCCGGCTTTGGTGAGGCGGCTGCGGGACGTCGAGAAGGTGCACTTATGCCGAAATGAGGCCTGCACCGAAGAGGGTGGGGAGCACTTCGTCATGTACGGGTTAGTTCGAAAGAATGACCCGGAAAGATTCCAGATGGCCCAAGCTCGTGAGGGTGCGCGCAAGGTGACCCACGACTTCTGGGCCTGGTTGAAAGGGTCCCCATTGACTGAAGGCACCTCACAGTTGATGCATCGCCTTCGGGAGTTGGGTTCCGAGTCGGAGCAAGAGGAGGAGCACCTGATTTGCTGTGGCAGCCTGGTCACATGGCGGGGCCCGATGGAACTATGCAGTGCCTGGCCAATCGGCCGTGCAGTGTGCGCGCTCAACATTTTGGGCAACTCCTCCAGGATGATGTCCCCACTCAGTGCGGGGCTGTTGCATTGCGCGGGGATCATGCTACCCAATACCTGACCCGGCGGTATCCCGACAAGTGCAGTGTGACCTTTTGCAAAAGGTTTGGGAACAAGCTGCAGCATGGTGTGGTGTGGTGTTCAGAACATGAACCTTCAAGCCTGACACCGACGAGGCCCTCTTCTACCTCAGCGCGCCGATCCAGATCGAGGTCACGTACACGAGCGGTGGAGGACATCGACGAGGGGGAGAACGATGATGAGGAGAACGGGGTCGACGCCGAGGAGGCGCACGGTGACGAGGATAGGCATGGTCGTGCGAGAAAGCTGTTGGGAAGGGCTCGTGAATGTGAGGAGCCCGAGATCAAAGAGAGAACGCCACGTCGGAGGGGAACAACACGCTCGCCTGGACATACTCCGAAAGGATCAAGCATCAGTCGAAATCTATCCCGCATGGGGATGCTCGAGTCGCCAGGTTCAGAAGGCGCCGGCAGCTTGCTGGAAGAGTTCTTTGAGATCTTTGCGGCCGGAAAGGCGGATGGACTCCGTGAAGACCAAGCACGCAAAAAGCTGGGAGCTGACCGCCTGCTACTACCCGGTGATCTTCTTCGACAACTGGTTGGGGAGGCGGAGAATGAGCAGGCGCAAGGGCAGAGAGGGCTGTCACGTTTCTTGACCACGTGGCGGAAGGAGCTGGCTAAGTTGGGAAGGCCTCATGGAGAAGGGGAGGGATGTAGCGACTGGAGTATGGTGGAAGGTGGCAGTCAAGCCGCGTCTCCTGGGGATACTCCGGAAAAGGATGGGGATAGAGCTACATCTCTGCCTTTAGCTTCGTCTTTGAGGACCTCGGCATCCAGGACGAGACCTACGTCTGAGCCTGCACCCCCCCCCTGACAGAACGAGGTCAGCAGATGCCTCAGGTGGAAGAGAAGCGAGGTGACGGGCTACGAGTGGCACCCCCCGGGATCTATCGCCCTGACACCAGGGCAGGAGCCAGGACCGACAGTGGAACCACTGCAGAACCCGTTGTCCAAATCGCCAAAGCGATCCAGCATCAAACAGCAGAATTGGCTTCTTTGGTTCGTCAACAAACCGAAGGAGCAGGAGGTCAGGTCCCCGGTACAATCCGGGGGCTCAACAAACAATCAGAAGAACTGGTCTTCTTGCTTCGGGCGTGTGGCCAGTATCAAGTGCGTGTTGGTGCGGAAGAGCACGGTCAGGCACTAGCAAACTCGTTGCTGTCCGCTCAGATAGGAGCCTCGACCAAGCTTCGAGCAGCAGGCTTCCGCCAACGGATGTCAACACGGCTGGCAGTTGGAATTGCAGGGCCATACTGGGGCATTCAGGAGAAGTATGGCCTGAGCGCCGCGGACTTCCTTTCCTACACGGACGCTGAGCTCGACCAGTTTGCTTCTGAGGCCAAGGTGATGAAGAACACCGACCAAAGACCTCCTCCTCCGTCCAGGTTCGATGAGTGGACCGCCCGAGTACGACGCCAGACAGATGTGTGGTGCCTGGTTTATGGGGAGGAATGGAGAGCCGTTCGGAACAACGCCCTCAACCTCTTGTCGGAGTGGCATCTGTCCCATCCTCACAGGTGGCCGCTGGCCATAGTCATCGACATCTGGGAGGAGATTCACTGGCGATTTCTGGAGGAGCTCAAGGACGTGCTTCGGAGCCTCAAGAAGGAGATTGGTAGGGAAACGATCAGCCTCACCGAGCTCAAGTTCCATGCGCTACTTCCCGGACCAGATGGACAGGCATGGCTGGTGATGCCCACGACCTTCGACATCGAGAAGCCCGACTCATGGTTCCAGACCGAGGTCCTCCCAAGGATCGAGAGGAAGCAAGACCGCCTCTTATGGAATCTCACTTGGCAGGGCGGTGCCCGGAAGGATCGCAACCCGGCAGCACCAGCTGGAGGAGCAGGGGAGAGTGCAGGAAGCTTGAGTTCGCAGTCCAAACCCACTCTCAAGTCGTTGTGGGGGCCCAAGCTGACTCCGGAGGAGGTCGGAATGGCCAAAGATCGGGCCCCTTTGGACCGCCACGGCAAGTTGCTCTGCTGGGGAAACCTGTGCCACATTGGCTGCCAGACGACAGGTTGTCAGCGCTCCCATGAAGGACTTCGCGGCTCTTTCGAGAATCTGGACCCGTGTGTGCAAATGCAACTCCTCAAAAGAGGTGGACTGAAGCGGATGAAGCTCGAGAGCCCGGATACCGTGACCACCAAGATCAAAGACATCCGGTCCAAGATGCGAGTCGAGAAGACTGACAAGATCCAGGACGGAAAGAAGCGAGCGAAGGCTGGGAGCACCCCTGCAACTGTCGGGACAGAATCTGGAGAGCAGGAGGTAACGGAAGATGGCCGAGCTGGAGGAGAAGGGCCAAAGGTGCGATTTTGGGACGTCCCCGAGGAGTTCGAAGTCGACTACACCAAGGGCGAGGACCTCAAGGATGTGATTCAAGGGCCGGACTATGCATGGCATCGAGATGTTCATCGTGATCTTCCACCTCATCGTGGTCGGGATGGGACTTCGGCACCGCAGGAGGCAAAGCACCTGGTCCAGAAAGCCAAGGAGCTAGGCAAGTCCTCCGCTCTCCAGGCACTGGAGGGAGCCACTGACGACTTGTATGCATGGGCCGCCGCTAGGGTTGCCAGGGAACCCGGAGTCGAACTCTCTTCACTTCTTCAGGAAATGGCGACCTACGGGATGGGTGAGCTTGCACGGGAAGCGGCTGAACTATTGGAGCAACGGGAAGGAACTAAAGCAGGCTCAGCTCGACTGGTGGTTCGAGACACTCTGTGGGCAGAGGGGCAACCAGGGCAAGGAAGCGTCGAGCTCGACGGCACCACTTGGCGGCTGTGGGACTATCAGGAGGACGTCATGATGACGGAGGACCTGGCGGCACTTCTTCACCTACCAGAGGTGTCCATTGAGCGGCGGCAGTGCGTGACCATCACCATTGCGGCTATGGTTGAGTGGAAGGAGAAGAGCCGACGGCCGTCAGTGGAGCAGGTTCAGACCAGAGCACAAAGCCTGAGGCTGGAGCAGACTCGGCTAGCAGTGGACGCGGCCAACACCATCGGCGAGGCGGAGGAGATGGTCGCAGCTGTGGAACACGAAGTCAGGACCTACATCCATGACCTCACTACAGCTCACCACGAGAAGGACTTTCGCTCGTTGGCGGTCTTCCCTTTGGAAGCCCTTGCGGACTGCCGATTGGTGGTTTTTAGGGCGGACTACCGAGGGGGCTTGGTCGTGGAGTGCATCATTGGGTCCAACTGGATAGATGGGGGTTGGACGACCTTCGCACTGATTTGGAAGGGGCACATGGTCCTTTTGGAACCGCCGGACGGCTATGACCTGGAGCGCTTCCTGGCCCGAGAGGACCCCCAGACCACACCTGCGATGGGGTTTACGTTCTTTTGGCACGCTCGTCATGATCAACCTTCCACCGCACCAGGCAAGATTTTCTGCAGGTTGTGCAAAGCAGGCCGCAAAGCTGGGGAGTCGCTCAACGCACCAAGGCATAGCTGCTTGTCCTACACGGCCGCCACCGCTGGAGGCACCATGGACATCCACCATGACCACAATGTGATTCGGGCGGTTCGGAGTGCAGGCCAGCCACATGAACCGGGGCAGCTGGTGCTAAGGGAGTTCTTTGCCGGGAAAGGTGGCATCTCTGCGGAGTGGAGCAGGACGAGCCCGAGCATGGAGCCGGTCGAGGTCTACGAGCATCCACATGACAAGCAGGGCTACAGGGCACACTTTGACTTGAGCCGAAAGGATGTCCATGACAAATTTCTGGCAGAGGTGCGTACCGGGCCTTCCAATGTGCATTGGATTGCAGCCCCATGCACGAGCTACTGTGACTGGCAGCAGAAGAATGGTGGGACTCGCACCTTCGAGTGTCCCGAAGGCACTGGACAGGGACCGTTAGCAGCGACTGAGGCAATGGGCAACATTTTGAGTGCGCACGCTGCTGAGCTCTTCGAGGCTTCGTTGGATTCTGGTGCCTTCCCTCTCGTCGAGTCCAGTGGGGTCAGTGGACGGTACCCCAAGCAATGGGACCTGCCGTGCTGGAAGCGCATCCTCAACCGGCCGGACGTAGAGTACGTTGACCTGCCCATGTGCGCCTTTGGTCTTGGTCCCCCTGATGAGCCAGATCATTTCTATGTGCACAAGACCAGGGTGGTCTTCCCACTGCATCCACCGTTACGGCGAGCGCTTCGACGAGTCTGTCCGGGCCTGTCAACCTCGCACCGGCACATCGGGCTGAAGGGTTGTCGCGACGGCCAAACCGTCACTCGCTGTACTGAAGCCGGGGTGTACGCCCAGAACTTTGTGTCAGTCGTGGTGGCGGTGCTCCAAGCTTCGTTGGGGGGGGGTCTGGCTTTGACGCCACAAGATGGTCATCGAGCAGGCGGTCTTCGGGATCGAGGCGGAGACGATGGAGAAGATGGAGGTGCCCTACTACCTGGTGACCGTGAAGAGGCTGGCGGAGACGGTGAGGATGACCTACCTGGAGACCTACCCGGAGACGATGACGGAGGACATGACGGAGATGGTGGAGGCGTTCAACGAAACGATCAACCCGATGGAGATGGCAAAGGGGATGGCTTGTTGGAATCGATGGGCTTCGGGAACCACTCGGCGAGCCGCCACGGAGACGGGTTACTGGAGGTGCTCGGGTTCCCTGAAGGGGGGGTTCCCAATCCGATACGGCAACCAAAGGCCGTGATCTCAGCAAAGGACCGGGTGATCCCTATGCCGTGGAGACCAATGAGAAGCTCATCCGCTCCAGCTGGAGCCCGAGAAAGATCCCCGCGAGGGAGTTCCAGACCAGGCGGGGGAAAGGGCAAGGGCGGCTGGCTCAGCTTCGCTGGAGGAGGAAGTTCGTCCTCATCCACTTCGGAGCCCAACTCAGATGTCGAGGGAGGCGGGAGGAAGTCCACCAGGGTGGAATACCCGTATGGCCTGTCGCGGGCGGAGCGATATCGCTTGGCATGTGAGAAAGGAAAGGGCAAAGGCACCTCCTCTCGAGGCGCCGGGCCAGCTCCAGGAGATCCTGACCAAGGAGAAGGGGAGACCCTGCAGGGAGTCTGGGCGGATCCAATGGGCCCCTCCACCAGTGTGGACTTTCACCGCACCAGCCCAACCGGACCGGGCGACCACTGGGGCTCGCCTGCCCGCAGGCAATGTGGAGAGTTCATGATGAACCCCGGACGACCCTGTACGTCCCGTCGGAGATTGGTCTTCCTACACCGCTTGCCCACCTAACCAACGAGAGGGTCACCCACCTGCGAGAAGGGGCGAACCAGGTTATCATCACGGATGATTGGCGGGCTGCCGGAGGGGCTGATCCAGGCTATGGCAAGTGGACGGGCGTGACCATCTTCACCATCCAGGAGATGCCGGTTGTCGACGACGAGGCGATCCCGTGTGAGGACGACTGGGAGTGGGGCGCCGACGAAGATGAGGGACCCGACCCGGGAGAAGATGACGGACCGGAGCCCGAGGTGAGTGTCCAAGTGGAGTCAGGCCCGACGGCCTACGCCGGGAGCGAGGCACGTGATGGCCCAGGTTCGGCCTACCAAGCACCGACTACAGCAGCACGGCAGGCAGCGGAGGAGTATGTCAAGGCGATTGAGCAGGACTTTGACAACACTCCTATGGGTTGGGCGGCCGTGCTACGGGCGGGCAACAAGCTGGTTGAGGTCGCGGGTGGAGTGCGCCAAGCTGCTGAAAGCCTCTGGGAGGTAAGGGAGAAGGCCGGAATGATGAACCTAGCCCAGGTGGATGACCCGGGGCTGGACCGGGTGTTACACCCCCACCTCCTGGAATATCTTCGGGATGTTCGACGATATGGCATGGCGGCCAGGTTCCAAGGGCTTCGGACCAGAGCCTTTGCGAAGCTTCACCCCAATGCACGACGCCACGTTGACAAGGTCTTTGCCCAGGTCGCTAAGGATGTGGGAAAGCAGAGGGTGTTGGTAGTCAGTGCCATGATGCCTCAGCTGAGCGGGACGATGGCCTCACCTTTTGAGGCGGTGCAGAAGCTCAAGCCAGATCGCTCTGTGTCGGAGGAGGTGAGAGTGGTCCACGACCAAAGGACCATCAACCATGGGACGAACAAGTTCCTTCACCCGCCGGCCCTTCAACCTACCCACTCACAGATTGCCAAGCGCATCCTATGGGCTAAGGGTCGATGCCCGGGCTTGCCGGTCCTCCTGTCCAAGAAGGACATTTCTGGGGCTTTTAGGCTTCTGTGGGTCGCCCCGAGGATGTAGAGTTGTTCGCCGGGGAGCTGCCGTGGAACCCGAGGAAGGCCTTTCCGAACGCCACGGACGAAGAGATTCACTTGGAGGGCATTCCGGGCGGGGACATCACGGTGGTCTACTTGGTCTCCAGCTTCGGGTTCAGTGGTAGCCCAGGAGAATGGACTGTATGGGGGCGTAGCACGGAGGAATTCCATCGAGCTCACTGCCCGTCGGTTCCACGGAGAGACATGGGCCATGGTTTCGATTGCAAGGTCCTGGTCGACGACGGAGTGTTGGTGGAGCCCTGGGTGGGACTGAGGCCGTGGGTGAGCGCGGAGGTGTTTGAGCACGGCATCAGGACGCTCCTGGGGAACAAGGCGGTGAATGAGGAGAAGGACAAGGTGGAAGGAGCCTTCAAGACCGCACAAACGGTCTGGGGGGTGATCATGTGCACGGAGGGCGAGACTGCTACGCTTCCAGAGCGACGCATTCAGAAAGGGGCGGTCCTTCTAGCTGATAGCTGCTTTGACTACGGCTCCAAGGAGGTCACCCTGAAGCAGCTACAACAGTTCAGAGGCATCTTGACCGGATGGGCAGCCATCGTGAAGGGGCTGGTGAACGAGCTCAAGGCGGCGGACAAGTTTCTTGCGGGCCGTGATGGGCATCAGAAGGTGAATCCCCGACTACGTGGGGAAGGCAGCCAGGCCTGGGAGGCAGACCGGGCATGGGAGGATCTATGGGAGCTTTTTGAGGTCTGCCGCTGGCTGAGTGTGCGGACGGATCGATGGGAATCCTTTGCCACCGGCCTGAGATCTATGCTTCCCACTATGGAGAGATTGAGCTTGCCTGGAGAGTGGGAGAAGGTCATTTGGGTGTCATCCGACGCTACGCCTACCATGGTGGGAGCCATCGATTGGACCAACAGACAGGTGACGCGCCTTCCCACCGGGACCTTGAAAGCGTGGGCTGCTCGGGCTCTGTCAGACCATGAGATTGGGGACCAGGAGACCGACCTCGTGATTCACCTGGGTGAGATGCTGTCTTTCGTTGCCTTCGCATGTGCAGCAGGGGACCAGTGGAAAGGGGCAGTAGTGGCCTATGGCGGGGACAACACCATCGTCAAGAATTGGCTACAATCCCGGAAGAGCAACACCAGAGGGGGAAGAATCCTCATCAGGGCCCTCAACCTGGCGGAGATGAAGTACAACTTCACGGTCGTGAGCGGATGGTGGCGGACCTATCACAACGTCCACGCGGACTTCATCACGCGGTGCACCCAGGAGGAATTCGAGGGCTTCGTGAAGGAGAAGGGCCTTCAGGTGCTGGACATCTCTGCGGCGATCCACGGCGCTCTGGAGGACTCGGCCCGATATGGGGCATGCTTCCTTTGGGGCCCAGAGAAAGAAGGTGATCGTGCACTGCAACTTCAGCTCCGTGAGAGAAGGGTGTCAAAACAGATCCAAAGGGAGCTCGAGATTCCGTGGAAAGCCTTCGCCAAGGAGTGGACCCCCTCGGGAAGGTGGCTGAAAGATTTTGAAGCCCTGGGAGGAGCCCTAGGAGCGGCCATCGAGGACGTTGGTGACCGGCCGGTGCTCTTGTGCGCCACGCTTGGAGTGGACTACAAAGGGAAGCACATGGAGCAGTACCTCCGCAACCTTCAACACGAAGGAGCTCGTTTGGGGCTGGTCGAAGGACCTGGGAAGGTCGATTGGGAGCGAGGGCAGCGACACTGTGAGAGCCGAGGATGGGGCTATGGGATCGTCGACTTCATCACCACCGAGAATGGGGAGGCGTTGACGAGGAGAAGGCGGTGCTTGGTGGTGAACCCACATGGTGCTCTACCTGAGGCATGGGAGGAGTTTCTGGTCAGAGCTATGGGGCCGGCACCAATGAGTTCACTGCTGAAACCAAAGGAGCACCATGAACTGTGTTGGACCAAGCCGCTGCGTTTGGAGCTGGAGAGCGGCATCCCGAGAGATCGAATGCTACCTCAACCAGCAGGTCATGTCTGGTGGGGCGAAGAACGTGAGGTGATCCATGGGATTGGAGGCCCTGGTCGGTGGCCCTTGTTGTCAGACGACGGGAGCAGTTTACAGGGCTACTATGTCTACAATCGCCGAGGACCTGGAGGCCATGTTCGTCGTCTTGACCCGGAGGAACTATGGGTTCTACAAGGGCGTCAGCTTCGAGACCTACCAGCCAACATCCCTGCCGAGGTTGCGGCGATCGAAGGGGTCCGGGCCACGAAAATTCAAACTGCCGCGAACCTGGTGACCATGGGAGGCCAAATCCTCTGTGAGCTGATCGCCCGTGAAGCTGGGGAACTGAACCCGGGTAAGGCCGGGATGATGCCCGACGCCACCGGAGCAGAGGCCATGGCCCAGATCCTGCTGTGGCTCAGAAGGTGGAAGAGAGGAGAGTTGAGGCGGAGCCCGCCGTCCTATGAGGCCGACACCACCAGGGCTGGTGGCGGCACGGGGCCACCGCTGAGGAGGCTGTGGAGGTGGTCGGAGGCGTGGTGGTGGGCTCAATGCATGGACGAGGAAGAGGAGGACGATGCCTACACCCTGGAGTTTGCCAACGAGATCAAGGGTTCCTATGCTGGCGGACGGACCAAAGCCAAGACCGACCCGCTCAAAGTTGCCGAGAAGGTGAGAGCCCAGGCCGTTCACCTCACCAAGAGTCTCGCCCCGTTTTGCGGTGATGTTCGTGAAAGGGTCGATGAATGGCTGGAGGAGAACATGACTGGGGACAAGAGTGCCGCGACGGAGAAGGCCTATGGCGGAGCATGGATGAAGTGGTGCGCTTGGGCTAGAAGACAGGGCTGGCCAGATGAGTTCCTCAACCGCAATGTGGGCCCGATTGAGAACGAGAACCGGGTGCTGGCCTACGTGGGTTACCTGGGATGGCTGGGCGCCTCGCCCAATACCATCCGTCAACACATCTTCGCGATGAAGATGGTGCACAAAAGGAGTGGCAGGACCGATCCCTTGGATGGAATGCATCGGGTGTGGATCCTCGTCAACGCCTTGGATCGGAGATCGACTACCAGGAAGCCACGGCGCTTGGGGGTCACGCCTGAGATGTTAGTATGGTTGGGCGAGAATCTGGTCGACCCGCTAGTGAATGACCGGCATTCAATTCCGTACGCGGAGGCAGTGATGGTCGTGGCGGCCTTGGAGCTGGCGCGGTTCTTCATGCTGAGGGCCAAGGAGTTCGGGGAATCGAACGGAGTGGACGAGAGCATGATCACGAGGGGCTGTGACATCCGCCTGTCTCACCAAGGAGTGGCGAAACCGGTGGGGGAGGCGACCGAGATTTCCCTCTTCTTCCGGAAGACCAAGAATGACCAGCTGGCCTTCGGGGACACCAAGACGCTGCAGGCCACGGGGAGGAAGCACCTTTGCCCAGTCGAAGCACTGGACCGTATGAGGCAAGTCTGGACGATGCGGTTTTTGCCAGGCCATGCCGAGAGCACCAAGCCGCTGTTCAGATGGAGCAATGGCCAGGTCATCAAGAGGATCGAGATCCAGCACTTCCTCCAGGAGGCAGCGGTTGGAGTGGGCTTGCCGCCAGGGAGGTTCATGTCCCACTCTTTGAGGATTGGTGAGGCGTCAGCTTTGTTCCAGTCGACTGCCGACATTGAGTTGGTGAAGCGAGCGGGAAGGTGGTCCTCCTCTGCGGTGCAACGCTACCTCTTCGATGGGGGGTCGGTCAGCGCAGTCTCCAAGAAGATGGCCGCGGTCGGAGATGTGACCACCTTTAGATGAAGAGGTGGGCCGGGTGAGGCATCAAAATGATGCCTGGACTTCAAAGAAGCCAGAGCATCAGTGCGCTTCGCCGCCAAA